CGGGCATCACGATCAACCCAGACAGTGGAATAATTCCTCTGGACTACCATATCACTTCAGTGAAACTAAAAAGGAGCTAATCTTATTTACGTATGGGTTTACATTTTGTTTGGTATGTTTCTTTCCAAGGAGGGAAGAGAAAGAATTTAGATGAGTATTTCAGAAATCCTATGCATGAGACTAATGTGCACGATATTTTTTCACTCAAATATTCAGAATTCCAGCGGCCAAATATTCAGTGTACAAATGCTGAAAAATGTAAAATGCTTTGAAATGTATTTTTGCTTCCTTTTCTATTTATTGAATATTCAAATGTACAATCAACTCTCAGGAAGAGGGCTGCGGCCATACAAAGGCTGCCTGGGGAAAATACAGACATAGGGAAGACGGACAGCGGAGTAGCGGTTTGAACACGGGACCCCCGGATCACTAGTTGGTGACCTAACCACTTGATCACCACCGCCGACGGCTGAATTAAGTCGTGCATTGAAGTTGCTGTAATTTTCCCTATCTTCATCAATTCAGCTGTACAGAAAGCATAGGCGGTATCCATGCGTGGGTTCAAATCCCACCGAGGCTATCGAACTTTTCATAATATCAACACAAAACTTCAGTCTGCCAAAAAACAATTTGAACAATTCATAAACGACCGTGTTCTGGTCTTTTGTTTAACCAATTTTCATCACATTCCATCCGTCCAAACAGCTGATAACCAAACACGAAAAAATATTGAATCATTGAACGATAACGTAATTTATTTGGAACTACCTAAAACGTTAGCCAAATTTGACACCGCATTTATCATCGAACCACCACGCCTTTCGTACACCGTGGAAAAGGACCAACGGTATGTGTGTGTGCGTGTCCGCACTTATTTATGTGGCAACACATTGTCCGTGCCCGAGAAACATTGTAATCAGATGGGATGCATGTAGGCTAGGACAACAAAAGCATTCAGATTTTTAAAATTAATGAATGCAGCATGAATAGATTACATATGGATGGGATTTACCAGCAGACAAACAGCACAGGAATGTTGTTTATGCGGGTTGTCGAACGCCGATAAAAAAGTAGGACAACGAAAGGTAACCACTAACCACCCGATCAACCAATCAGTACGCATCCAAAGTTGGGCATCATGAAAACTAATTCGGAATTCGAACGACATCGTCCGGTTGCCTTCTTCAGTTTGCACAGATACCCCCGCCTCTCCCTCGCCAACATGATTTGTGTCACCCCTAATCCCATTGTGCCACAGGAATTGTTGGAAATCCGTGGTCACGCAGTACATCCTTATCGAACTACTTCGTTCATTGTAAACACGCCCGCCTACTCCTGAGGTACATTCGATTTCAGTCCGTACATTGACAGCTCAAGGTCGCTGGTGGATACATCCGGTGGAATTAAATTAACATAAGGAATGCCAGAGGACAAAACCGCATAAAACGGCACAAATGGAAGATTTTTCCAATGACATTCACAACTGTTTGTCCTTAGAATCCACAGTTACAGTTAGTGGAATTTTAACCTCGTATTTTCTGTGCATTCAACACCAGAAATACGTTGGAAACAAAAATAGGATCAGTGTGTAATCGAAGTACATTAACTGAACTCGGGGAACTTGGTTGACTTCCATAGACCATACACTTTAAAATCAAATAAGACCATACGTAAATCCATTTTGGTCCTTCCCGTTTGAATGATCGACTAAGGATTGTTTGAAAATAATGGTTAAAGGATGATCGTTCTAACGCGTATAGAATCATTTGTTTTCATTCAGTTAGCACGTTCAATACGATTAACTCCATTACATGCACTCCATATTTGGAGTTTTCTTGTGATTTGTGCGCAAATATCAAGAGTACTTAGATGAACTTTACTGTGTATTGAAGCTCACTCCAGAACAACGATTCTACGAAAAATAGATGCTGGTGGTTGGATTGCAGTGTAAGTGACTCTTGAGTGAGCTAGTTACATGCATGATGAGTGTCGTTCGAACAATTTACTTAGGGATTTTTTCAGACCCACCCTAGTTCGATTAATCTAAATATGATAGAAGAAATAAGAACGATCGTGGGAAAGTATGAAAGATTGAATAAGCAAACCATTACGGATATTATGTGATTGTCCGCAAAGCAGTTCGCATTTGCTCGGATCACTCAGACTTAATTCATCGTTGAGAGGGTGAGTGTCATGGTACCAGTCAAATGTCCACTGGAAAAAGATAGTTTTTTTTGTGCTGAATTCGGTCAATTCGAACTCCGTATTTCTTTGATCAAATACTACAAGCTACACACTAGTTTATGGATAAGACAAGTCCTTTGTTGCAATTGTTTTTACGTGTGTAATGAATCTGCTAGAACAAGTTGGCTGTTCCCATCATATTGGCCAGCAGAGAATTCGATCAACTGTTTCAATTCGACCACATGATTTTTCTCAGGCCAAACCTGTCCTTGAAATTTAGTTATACAATTGACCATTCAACAAAATGCACGAATAATAACGTTTATTGTTATTTTTATTAATCAATTTAATAAACAGGTAGAGTGAATTTTCATGGCAAAATGCCTTTGAAATCTATAAGAAAGAACTGTAATGATGGCACCGCGATTTGAAAGAGGATAGATATTCTACTCAGAACGTTTTCCTGTATGATCTGTGTGGATTCTCAACTACCAAACTCTTTGAGGATTAGATTTGTTTTGAACTCATTAATTCCTCATTTCTTTAGTTGACGAAATCTTGTAAAATCGCCCACGAAGAGATACTGCAAGAAATCACTAGTCATACACTCCAGGTGTTGATTGTTAAACATGCACATTTTGAGTGAAGGTTGCGGTTTAAGTACTGTCGAGGGTGGTAAAAATGCTACGCACTTCTGAAAAGTCCTAACGGGGACAAAGTTACTACTCCGTTCGCTTTATAGGCCATCTATCTGGGTTATCAGGTTGTTAGATAAAGAAGTAGGACACATTAGGTTGAATCTTTTGAGATTCTAGAAAGTTTGTGATGAAACCTTGGACAGTCTGAATGTATGTCTGCGTATAATTGCGTCCATCTGTTATTTCAAATCCAGTACTTATTTTCAAAATAAAATTACACAACTAATCTCCGGTTTTCTTCTATTAACCAGTTGAGTTTTCTGTCACTTTTAATAGAATATTCTCTTGTTGAGTTTTAAAAACAATCAAAAGAAATGACCGAATAAAATATCGATAGTAAAGTTGTTATTAATGAGGAGGAAAAGGAGATTGACATTATCACTAACAGATGAAAGATCTCAATGAACGGAAAAAGTAAATTGAATTTGTTTTCTTCAAAATCCGCAGAATTTCATCTCATCATGTGACCCAAAATAACCATTAGAATTCAGCCGTTGGTGAATATGTGCAGTTCTTACATGTATAAATGGAAGATATTTTGCTGTGAATCAAAGGAAAATAACCTAAATGATTTTGAAGTAGAAAGCGATACAATAGGTACCGATATCGAATACTACAATCTCCGGTACCTTTTTGACTCCCTAACAAAAACCAATAAATGTGCCTTTATCTTTTCTTAAGTTTAGGTTTATTGAAGAAAAAAATCCGTCCATTCTCATTCCCAATTCCCACAAACCCCACTCCTCCAAAAGTATTTCGTTGATGATTGAATCACTATCGCAAAACGCCAAAAAACAGGATCAGATGTTAAACTGGCTCTGGAAATCGCCAAACGGAATAATGAGTGAAAGGCTATTTTTCTAGGTTGACGTAATTTTTTGACAATTTATTTTACAGTCATAATGCGCTCAGTAATTTGAATTCACTGCAGAAATTCGCGATTCAAGGTCACCATAGGGAACGGAAACATTTGCGGACTTTTCTGCAAACCGGACTTAATCTAACAAGCTGATTTGTGATGCCTCATTCCCTGACACCAATAAAGTGCACAATTTAGGAAGAAAACATTAACGTTATTCATAAAAGCTGAAAAACGAAATGATGTTAGAGATTTTACTGGAAATGAATCACTGGGAATTTAGCCCAACCAGTTGCAAGAATTCTTTGCTTGTCAGTTTTAAAACCGCAGTTGTGTGGTGCACAAAACCACTTGTGTCAATCTGATTAGGTGACGGCTATTAGAAATAAGCTTAAGGCATCGAACTCGGACCCAATGCAAATACCTCCGTCATTTGATCCACTCGACCACCGATCAAACTAGTCAACTGTGCGCTTACATGATCTTCGCAGTAAGTACATTGAGTATCTTACTCTCTCCCTCCAGATACTCATATCCCCTAAACATAACGTTTCGTAGCTAAGTAGAAAATAGTTGAACTGGCAATAACCTGGACAAAATATAATCATTCACCAGAAGTCTGCTTAATGTAAGTTGTCTATGTTTGGTGATTTTTTTCTTGAAAATAGCGATCTTAGAGAAATATAGGTTTTAAACTGTCAAACGTGGTTAAATAGATTTTCGGTAAACCTAAACAATGCTAACGATAAAGAGGATAGCCAAAACAATTCCAGTTTTGCAAAGATGAATATGGGATGTACTTTTAAGGGAAGAAAAAGCTTTTTTGTTCGGATACGTTTAGCACGTTTGATTTGTTTCTGAATATGATTTTGTCATACCGACTAAACCTCACATCAACCACTGAACGGGGTTAGGAGCACCTGACAGCCTTACATCATCGAATAGGACCACCACAGGTGCATTTTTATTCGATAGGTTTACTAAGCTAGACAAAATTCTCGTGCCTGAGTCCAAATCTCAGTAGATTCGGTATTATATGCGTTGTTTTTGATTCCGGACAAGACTGATCCAACGTTTGATGAGAAGGATCAAAAAACCTCATATGACGCTTTCGGGAATTTTCAGTGATGATTAATACATTACATCTGTATGATTATTATAATCTCTTAAACTTCTAGGGCATTGTTTATCTCCACGTTACATTTCAAATTCTGCGATAACGTCTAAGACATCCATAAACAGTACACAAAGGAATTTTACTAACTTACCAGTTCGATGAATTGCTCTGTGGTTTCGCGAATTTGTCGTTCTAAGTTTTGAACCAATTCGGCCACTTCACCAACTGCACTGAGACGTAATTGACAACTTAGCATGCGTTGCTGTACCTGACCGACTGTGTTGGATAGGGTGGCTCTCATGGATGAGACTGCTTCGCCAAAACTGGTCACCTCATGCTCGCGGTGCTCATTGAACGTGCAAAGGACGCAGATGCAGGCGGAACACTCATCACAGTAGAATCTGACCGGTTCTCCCGGATGTTCTTTACACTCGATATCCCTTCCGGATTGTAGGTCGAATGTGGCATGGTCTTTTGTCACTCGTGTGTCCCGGTGGCGTTGGACACAATCTGCACAGAGCAGTTTGTTACAATCCAAACACTTGGAGGTTGCTTGTGGTGCGGTACTGAGATGAGCGGAACTGGATCGGTGCCCGCCGTCTGATTGGTTGACCGGTTTGCTTGTAGGTTCAGAAGACTTGCCTCGATCGCGACCGCCAACTTGGGCACAGATTTCACACTCGCCAAAAGTGGCTCCACGTTTGACCAATCGAGGCAATTGTTGAACGGAATCATACTCCTCCCCAAGAAGAGTACTGGAGTGTCTGCCAGAATCGAGCCCGTCTCCGGGACCGCGTGGATTGGGCACTGATGTCAGAGTGATAGACGAGGAAGAGTTGGAGGAGGTTCGTTGTCTCATGACCAATTCGGTCAGTCCGGAGATGAGGAAATTGTCCGGGAGTCGTTTCACTCCGCCCAGTGGTAACTGAGTTCGTTTGCGACATAAAGGACAAGTGAAATCTTTGTAGTCCGTATATTTGTTATAGGTCACTTCGGCCGAAATGTGACGTTCAATACAACTGGCACAGAATGTGTGCAAACAGGCGAGACATTTGGGATTGGTATAGCTCTCGAAACAGATTTTGCATACGAGAAATTCATCGTGGATTTCCTGGGCCAAACGACCGGCCACAGTACCAAAGAATGCCTCGCTCACCATTTTATTTGTTTCCGATTTGAACGTGTCCGAATCCACACGGGTGCTCGTCATGTCCGGGGTAGACTTTGTCGAGATATCCGTGCTGCCTTTGCCACTTGTGTCCTCATCGTCATCGTCGTAAGTGGCTAAAGGTAAATGCACAAAAATGAAAGGGGTACAATTGTGCTGTGTGGAACATTTAGCATTCTCATCACAAGGCCGAAAAGTTACCGACAAATTTTCCTATCCCATATGAAGGTTTCCTCTAACTAACTCCGGCAGACTGGATGCCCTCTCTTAGTTTTAAATGTGAAACTACTGTGTTGATACGGAACGAGTGAACCATATTTGATCTTGATCAAAATTCTTATTTTTGCTTAATGTTTATCGGAGCGTGATCTGCAACTACAATCACATTTTATTCTTGGAGAATTTTTGGGCAGAAATGCAAAATAGGAAAATGTGCCGTAGATGTAAAGGATAAGAATATATTATCTTTCTCTTCCTTGAAGATAAAAAATGCTAGCAGGAACCGATGTAAGATATAAAAACATTTCTTCACAATAGTTTAACAGTTTAGCGCGAAGAAACCGACCAGATTGAAATGGTGCTGGGATACCAGTTGTATGGCAGACACTTTGATAAACTCTTATATCTCCTGCACTAACGTTTATTCTTTATGATCGAAACTGGTACAAAGTACAACTGCCTGGATAAATAGGCTGAAGTTCGCGGTCCTTTGAATCTACGAGGAATAGTGAGTTTCCGACACCTTGACTAAAAAATCAGGTCACAAAGTTTGCCTGACGAGTTGTAATCAGAATCACTTCGATACCATCAACTTCTGTGGCTTGACCATATCCTTTTAGATGAACGATCAGATACAGACGCTATATATGCTTTGATGATCAGTCTGTCATAACAGGATGTGTCTGATTTGGTGCCAAGTCGAACATGAATAACGGCTGAGAATTCAAATGTGGAACGCATTGAGTCACGTTCGGTCTTTGAATTAGTTCCCCGAATAGGTGGCTGAATGGTTATAGACAAACCACCGATTGTGAAACCTTTCCAGAGGCAATGTACAGAGTCGACATATCCTCTTACATATGATAATCGCGAAGAAAAGTGTGTTGGACAAGAACATTACTTCAATTGGCATATATTATCGCATTACAGATTTGTGAGTATAAAATTCACCAACTAGCTCGGATGCATTGTAGTACACCATCCACAAACAACACCGATTGACACATTCAATTCCAAACCTTATGATCTGATCAGTAAGATTGTGTAGCGGCTTTATGATCAGGGGTAAATCACGTTCCAAAGGGCATCTCTATTTTTCTAACCTAGTTAGTCTTGCCATTTTTGTGGAACTCGAAAGTTCCTTTTACGTGTTAAACAGAGCAATATATCCAGACGCTAACATGCTGCAAGTACAAAGTTAATCCATGATTGGCTAGCGCAAAAGGAAACGCTTTAGCATTTATGTGATTGTTGCAATTTGGATGCATTTAATGAACACTGTGTGAAAAGGTCAACAGACCAGTTTTCTATAAAATGTCAGTAATTTGTAGCTTCACACTAATGACGAAGAATAACTAAAGGTGCATTTTTTAATTTCAGTAGTATCCTTTATTTTTTCTGCTTGTCTGTAGCGCACACTGGAAACCATGGGATTTGGTCGTTTATTGTGTTTTATAATTCGGTATTGTGGGTTGAAAATACCATCATGTAAAGATCTCGTGTGACACCGTGACTTACACCAAGCATTCTCATCTCAAAGCCTAACATGTTGAGCCTCACAAGCGAGAATTCATCTGGCATTATCCCTCACCACACATCACATTTCTATATCATTATCTCTTTATACGGTTGCTCTTTTCAATGGAATAGCTTAAAAAGCATACAGTTTCTGGATTTCGATGACAATTGGTAGCGCATCACTTGCGAGATAAGTGAGAAGCCTTGGCACGAAAAAAAACACCCCCATTTAACGGTAGTCATTTAACAGGAAAAGATGAACTTCCTTACTACTACTCTGTAGATAAGATTTTCTAATTTTGACTCGTTACTTTTTTTTTACTGCACATTTTGTCATGACACTGAAGTTTATACCAGTTTCAAATAGCGAGACATGAGAATTAATAACAATGCGGTTAGAGATTGATTTCTTATTAAATGTTCTTTATCCATAGCTATCAATATGTAAGTAAATATGATATTAGACACTGAAATATACGTCTAAATTAAGGGTCATGTTGCAAAAGATCGAAACCTATATTGTGGTGGTGGAGCTGAGGGGAGGCAATTAGTGTATTGACCAACGGTGTCCAGTGCACTTGATCTGAAAGACTAGGGCCAGAAATAAATGCGAATACAACACATTGAATTTTACGAAAAGTGATACCACAAGGATTTGATTGTGGCCTTTTGTGACTTGTGAGCAGTTAGCTACATTCTTCTATAATGTGTCCTAGTTTATCAATCCATTCAGCTGTAGAAATGAGCAACCGAGCATTATTTCAAGCGTTTTTAGACCAATCGTCTACAAAAACATCACATAGCTCCTCTTGATGTTATCTGATTTGGCCTGACCGGATATTTTGTGCACTAAGTGTCAGACCTTGTACAAAACTCTTCATTCAATAAAAAACAAAACTTTGAGTGATTAAAGGATACAACGATGCTATGTTTCCTGCACAGGCAGTTTCAAACACAGTCTAAGAAATATATTTTGGCTCTGGACTTATTTATTCAGAAAACACCTACAGAGTGATTCGGGTTAAAAAGTCGTAACACCATAAATTATCTACAAAGAATTTTGCTATGATTCTGTGAAAAGGTTTTGTAGTAATAATGTTTTTTTGGAAAAATTGATGAAATGTTTTACGTTAGACACATAAACTACCAGATTAAACTACCGAGGAACCGGATGATCGCATATACGGCTCTTGCCATGCACCAGAAATACGTATCCAGCACATATTTATCAAATCTTGAATAACTTTTTACTTCCAATATCAACTGCGTCGGAATATTTTTCTTTATGTATATCACCTGAAATCAGCATGCTGGATGTGTCTTCCGATGGACCGAAAAAATAAACCAATCGTCGACCCTAAGGAAAATTTTTATCAATCATTCACATACTATTGAGTATATGACATCATCTAACGTGTGCATCAGATAGATAGACAGATTCAATTTCAGGCCGTTCTTTCTGTCGGGATGGGTCCATTCTATTTCCACATTCAGCAAGAAGTGTATGTATGCATGTATGTATACATGATCAATTCAAATAAATGCCGAAAAAGTACAAACACATTTGCGAATGTGAACAGTTTCTGTGAATGAGTCATATGAGTCATATACAGACTAAGCATACTTGGACGATCATAACCTTTGAATAAACAAAGGCCTGACACTAAAAAACCCAAAACAATTAAAGTATTTGTACAGGTTAGGGATCAATGCATTGAAATAAATCGTTTATCTTCAACCATGGGTTTTTGTGTTAAGATGGACAACTAGTGGAAATTCGTATGAATATTATAATGGGATTTTTTCCTTCTGAAATGTTTGAAGGTGAAGTTTCAAGAGAAAAACCATTCCAATCAGAAAACGACCATATGTTCCTCGAAAAATTCATCTGTTGATCCAGACTACTGATAGGTGACGTCAAAACCGTGTATATTATTCTGATTAAGGAACATAGGATTTTGTTATGGAATAACCACCGTTTGACGGTTTGCCAAACAGGGTGGAGAAGATAAAAACTACTAAGATGCTGTTTGTCCCTACCGAGGTTACCTCGGTAGGCGATTGGTTTGCGTACATGTATTTGTCCTTGAGGTTGTAACACGTGACGCGATACGTGGAAGTAGACGTTAATCTAGCTGCATATTCCTACAAAACGCTGACCATCTAGACAAGCATAGTGCTCCCAGTCTGGTATGGTTGACAGTCTGGTCTGCACAGTTCTGGATTACTCTGAACAAAAGTCTGTATTTGAACCCGGGGACAAGCACAAAAATAAATTCAGTTAAAGCAAATTTGTTTATTTGAGCTGCTATGTCTTAAAGCTGATTCGTGCCGAACTTAACCCATAGTGATTTAAAATGACATTTCTGGTTATTACACAGTTTAGTCGTCGAAAAGAGTCAAATTATTGCTAATCAGCCGACATTGATCGGTTTTAAATCATTTTACATTGGTCCAATATGAAGACGTTAGAATTATGTTACATATTATGCTCAATAGTGGACTGTTCTCCTGTATTTTCCCAGTACTTCGAATAAGAAACGCATTGACCTGTAAGTTGTGATGAATCATGTTCCTGAGAATTTTCACATAAGGGTGTATCAAGGTTTACCGTCAATATGAGTAATCAAATGAAATAGATATCTGGGGGGGGGTAGGTAGCATATGCTGCGATTGGTGTCCATGATACCTGTCCGTTTGTGTCTTCAGATTAGAGTCAACTTGCAAAACAAATTGTTTATCTTTTTTGTATTTAAAAATAGCACGCTAAACTGGCAATTGTTGCACTTAGTCCCGTTTAACAAGAATAAGGATGATGTGCTTGTTTCTAAGTACACAACCAATGATAATACGCTGCATTTTTAACAGTTTCGCTTCTCTTTTTATTGCTTTTCAGAACCGGTAGATGTGACGTCGTTCCTACACACACCATATCAGCATGCATGCTGAATAGGATCTCATTCTTAATGATTTAGGGTTTTCAATGAAAAGTGCGTATCTCTATAAGATCACAAATTATTCACTGATACCCAGTTCAATGAGAAATTCGTTTAGCACCGGTCATGCAGACAGTTTACTAGTATGCTCTGAAGTTTGAACGGTATACGAGGATGGTGTTTCTCGGAGCTGGGCATTCGATATTTCGGAAGAAATGAACAAACCAAATGTTATAACCAGCTAACTGAAGATTAAATTGGGTGAAGAACGGTTGGGCTCCTCACTCAATAAGATATTGGACTATTTATAATATCTCG